GGGTAATAGTAAGTACCACTCCTGTTTCCAACCCTTAGTTCCTGGGCCCATGAATCCTGGCTGTTGGAAAAACAGCACCATGTATTGGGCACTGGTTTAGAGCACATACAGCCTCCTAGAGAACATTGCACCAACCCTTCAAGGTATTGCCACCTAGCTGGAACCACAATTGTGTTTTTAGTAGGCCATCCCATTGTTCTATCAAGCCAGCTGCTTCAGGATGATGGGGAACATGGTAAGACCAGTGAATTCCATGAGCATAGGCCCATTGCCACACTTCATTTGCTGTGAAGTGAGTTCCTTGATCCGAAGCAATGCTGTGTGGAATACCATGACAGTGGATAAGGCATTCGGTAAGTTCTTGGACAGTAGTTTTGGCAGAAGCATTGCATGCAGGGAAGGTGAATCCATATACAGAATAAGTATCTATTTCAGTAAGAACAAAATGCTATCCTTTCCATGATGGAAGTGGTCCAATGTAATCAACTTGCATCCGGGTTGCCAGCTGATCACCCCAAGTCCATATCGTAGACTCAGTGTTGTCTCTGCTGCTGGCAGATTGGGCACTCAGCAGTGGTGGTAGCCAAATCAGTTGTAGTAAGTAGAAGTCCATGTTGCTGGGCCCATGCATAACCTCCATCCCTACCACCATGGCCACCTTGTTCATGAGCCCATTGGACAATAATGGGAGTAGCTGGGGAAAAAGGATAACTGGTTTCCACAGAATATGTCATCCTATCCACCTGATTGGTAAAGTCCTCCTCTGTTGAGGTCACCTTTTGGTGGGCATTCACATGAGACATGAATATCTTTTCTCCTTTGGCCCATTCAAAGAGATTTATCCACAGACCTCTTCCCCATTCATCTTTGTCACCAATTTTCCAATCATGCTCCTTCCATGTCCCAGACCATCCAGCCAAACCATTGGCCACAGCCCATGAATCTGTACACAATTGTACATCTGGCCATTTCTTGTGCCATGCAAAGTGAATAGCCAGATGCACAGCTCGAAGTTCTGCCCATTGGGAGTATTTCCCTTCACCACTGTCTTAGGGAAGTTCCAAAAAGGGGCTGCAATGCCACTGATGTCCACTTTTGAGTGGTGCCTGCATACCACGCAAAACCATCTGTAAACTAGGCACGAGTTTTCTTTTCCTCAGTCAAGTGATCATAAGGAACTCATTATGAGGCTATTGGTGCAGAGTGAGAGATGGAAGGTAATGTGACTGGAATGAAAATCACAGGCATTTGGGCCACTTCCTCATGCAACTTACTTGTCTCTTCATGTCCTGCTTTAGCCCAATCTCTGATATACCACTTCCACTTAATGATGGAATGCTGCCATGCACATCTAACTTTATGACTCTGTGGGTCAGACAACACCCAGTTCATGATGGGCAGCTCGGGCCTCATGGTAACTTGGTGGCCCATGGTTAGGTGTTCAGTCTCTACTAAAGCCCAGTAACAAGCCAAAAGTTGTTACTCAAAAGGGGAGTAGTTATCTGCAGAGGATAGCAAGGCTTTGCTCCAAAATCCCAAGGGTCTACATTGTGATTCACCAATAGGGACCTGCCAACGACTCTAAACAACATCCCTATCTGCTACAGACACTTCAAGCACCACTTGATCAGCTGGATCATATGGACCAAGTGGCAGGGCAGCCTGTGTGGCTGCCTGAATCTGTTGCAGAGCCTTCTGTTGTTCTGGGCCCCACTCAAAACTAGCACCTTTCCAAGTGACTTGATAAATAGGCCAAAGCAACACACCCAAATAAGGGATATGTTGCCTCCAAAATCCAAAGAGGCCCACCAGATGTTGTACTTCCTTTTTAGTTGCAGGGGAAGCCAGATAAAATAACTTATCCTTCACTTTAGTAAGAATATCTCAATATGCCCATACTACCAAGCCCCTAGAAATTTCACTGAGGTGAAAGGTGCCTGAATCTTTGTTGTGTTAATTTCCAACCCCCTACCACACAGATGCCTCACCAATAAGTCTAGAATCATTGATAACTTCTTCCTTGCTAGGTCCAATCAGCATAATGTTATCAATATAATGGACCAGCATGATATCTTGTGGAAGGGAATGGTGATCAAGATCCCTACGGACTAAATTATGACATAATGCTGGGGAGTTGATATACCCCTAAGGAAGCACCATGAAAGTACATTGTTGGCCTTGCCAGCTGAAGACAAACTGTTTCTGATGGTCCTTTGAAATTGGTATTGAGCGCCTAAGTAGCCAATGCCATAAATCCACACAAGTCAGAGTATTCTGATTACTGTTTTGACTCTGCTGTCCATTATGGTAACCATGCCCATCTTGTCTTTGTTGATTAACTGGTGCCACTTGGCCCCTACTACTATGGGGTCCAATCAGCCCCATCATAGTTAAGTGTCTTAGTTCAATTAGGGCAGTTCCCACTGCCAAATCTGGCTTACATAACATAGCAATCACAGCAGTCTTCAACGATGCTGGGGCTCCTTTCACAAATTTGTTCCTCACCTAAGTGGTAAAAGGTGTGTCCTCTGGGTTTCTCCATTTCTGGGTCTAGGGGTCTAATCCGATAAATCCATTCTAACATGCCAATTTCCCTAAGCCTCTGGATACCTTCTTCTAGATCTGGTGCTTCAACTAGACTTAAGGTAGGCCACTGCATAATCCATGCTTCAGTAAGCTAACCAAATAAATAATTAGGTCCTTTCCTAACCTCTTGAGCTGAAACATTAAATGAAGAATCTGTACTTAGTGGGCTTAAATCAATAAACTGAAACTGATCCAATTTTACAGTCCTTGCACCATTATCCCACATCTTCAGTAGCCATTCCCATACATATTGCCCAACTTTCTGTCTGTACATGTTAGCAAAAGCAAGTAGGTGTTTTTGGGTGTAGTGTACTACTTCCTCAGTCACACTTTGTATTTCACCTTTTGGGGCTTGCTTGGACTTAACTCTGGGTATAGGTCTAGCAGCAACAATGGGTGGTTGGAGAAGTTCCTGAGACCATGCAGCAGTCTTCCATGGCATCTACCTCAGGCAATGACCCAGCAGGAACAGTTGGGTTAATCCCATCAAATGGAGCTGGAAGGGATAACGGTTTTATAGTAATCCCTTCAGATGGTAGGGATTCAACAGAATTTACAGTCTCCATGTCCTCATCTCCCTGACTATCTGCCTATATGTCCCAATTCCAGGTTTCAGGATCCCATTTTTTCCTAATCAATGCCTTCACTTTAACTTCAGACACCATTCTGGGTTGGCAATTCAATTGATGTTGTAATTCAGCCACCCCCACAATAAGACTCTAGGTTTGGTTTTTTGGCAATATCAGCTCTGTTACTAGAAGAAATAAGGCCTTCTTTCAGGGCACAACTGGAAACACTGAGGTCTTTTATGCAGTGTTTAAGCTGTGACTCAGCAGCCCTGAACTTATCTTGCTCTCTTACCATTTTGTCTAGCATAAGTAGGACCAACCAGCCAGCTTCCTTATACTCCTCATGCTGACAAAATTGCAGAAAAGTATTAAACATAAGATCACCCAGAGCCTTGCTTCTCAAAAATACTTGATCTATTGGTGGTGCTATTTTGCATATTAATGTTGCCACCTCATGCCACGGATTTGCAGGGCCCTCTTTACTAATGGAGGTAGAGTAACCAGTGCCTTTATGATTAATCAAACTGGAGAACCAAAAGAGAATTGGTGAGAACCAATTTAGGAAACCCATCTTTATGATTTTGTCTCTAGAACCACTCCTGGTACCAAATGTGTTAGGCTGGGTTATCTAGAGAAGCAAAACCAGTAAAACTTATATATATAGAGAGAGAGAGAAAAATTTATCTTAGAAAAGTGGCTCATACACATATAGAAGCTGGCAAGTCCTAAGTTCCTGGATCAAACATCAAGCTGGAGGTTGACGTCAAGGTGGGGCTGACGAGCTCAAGGTTGGCAAGCAGTATACCGGCTGTTGACTCTGATGGATGACGAATCCAAGATCCCCAGGCCAAATGGTGGATTGTCTGCTCATGGACAGTTGTAGATAGCACAACAGAATCCAGATCCACAGAAGAGTCTATCTTTTTCCCAGGACGTCCATATATATATTGGAAGCAAGCCACATCCTTAGGAACCTCCCTTTCAAGGATTGGCTGCTCAAAACATATACATCAGATCTCATCATGGGAATTAACACATCACAACTGCTTAAATCACTCAGAATCATGGCCCAGTCAAGTTGACATACAACCCCAACTATCACACAGAGGAATATCTCATAAGAACACATGATTCACATCACTTTGTTTGCAAAAATTTTCATCCAAGGTGAATCTAGACCCTTCATTTCATATTTTCATTGACAATGTCAGTCTTAATTGTTGAGTCACCAAGTTCAAAGGATGGGAGTCAATGCAATTGATGCCAGTGGACTGGTGCCATGGACAATTCACTGCTGTTTCCTCTCCACCTACTCCCATGTCACAAAGTATTAACACAGATTCCAGTGAGCAGGCATCATACACAGTCTCACACTAAATTACTTAATAAAGAATGCTTTTATTTTTACTCAGGTAGTAAGGATGAAGTTTCACATTAGATGCCCTTTTTCAAGGTTTCGTCTTTTGACATTTCTCTGTTTTCCAGTAGCAAAACACAACTTTCAACTTTATTGAAATTAGGTTTTGCTTACTGCCTACACTGAATTTGCTTTAGCTACATAGTGAAAATATGTTTTTATAGTAATGTTACAGGTCAAGTTTAAAATGTTTTTTCATTAATATAATTTTCAAGAAAGTTTCCTTTACTTTCTTTGACTATTAGAATTCAGTTCTCTCAAGTTACAAATCATCTGGCCTACTAACAACAACAAAAAACAACAGGGGGTTAGGAGTCCAACTGTGAAGTTGTGAGCATTGTCACTTATGAGCTGTGTGCTCTTGCCTCAGTATGGGTAACCTTAGTTTCATCAGCTACAAAACAAGGGCAACAGTAATAAGGCTCTGCCTAATTCCTTAGGGGTGTTTGGACACACTGAGTCTCACATTCTTCCTTGGTGTTGAATCGGTTGGCATTGCCCCCACAGCTGCCATACCAGAACTGCTGGCAAACCTGCTCTTCCTTGTTGTAGTACCATTTCAGGATGTATTCCTGGCACTTGCCTTCCTCTGGTCCCATGAAGCAAGGATCTACAACAACAACAAAAAATGCAGAGAGAGTTGAATTCCCTGCATGAGCATAAGAGGGAGGGTGGCAGAGAGGAAAAGAGAGATGGTTTGGAGTCACAGATCTAGGTTTGAATCCCAGCCCCACAACCAACTAGCTGTGTGCCCTTGAGCAAGCAACTTAATCTGTCTGAGCTTAAATTGCCTCAACCATAAAAGCAATATTTTTAAAAAACCCTACATCACAAGGTTGCTGTAAGGCATTACATAATATATGTGAAAGGAGTTCACAATTATGGCTATTATTTCATGCACTGCCATTGAGTGGGATGTGACTCATAGCAACCCCTGCTTGGGCTGGTGAGGTGATATCACTACGGAAGTAGATTGCCCAACCTTCCTTCCAAGGAGTGGCTGGTGGGTTTGAACCACCAGCCCTCTGATCAACAGTCAAATACCTTAGGCACTATGCCACCAGAGCTCCCGATTATTTCACATAGTTTCTGGCATAGGAAATAAACGGATGAAGCTTTTTGATGATGAAAACTACTCACTTGCTTATTATGCTTCTTTTCCTCCATTTTTAAACCATCTCATCACTTGCCTAATCCAAAATCTCTCCAGTCTTCTAATGACCTAAACAAATCCAGCTTATTTATTACTTACTATTCTCTGACTCTTGCCCAAAAAGTTAAGACACCTATTCAAAGAAAAGCATGATGTTCCTAGAAAATGAAAACTAATGTTGGGAGTCAACAAGTGGCAGCAGATGGATGGCCTGAGTTTTAAATTAGGCATTCATTTCCAATATGAGGAACCTCTGTTTTCTACAGAGAACAAATTTCATTGGGCACACTTCGTATCATAGAGAACGATTCTTGCCCCAAGTCAGTCTTGCAGCACAGAATGCTGGCATCCCCCAAATAGTTTCTCCTGGGCCTTCCAAGCACCTCCAAATAAAGAAGATATTGTTGTCAGAAAGCAAGAGTTAAAATTAATGGTCTAGTCCCCAGAAGTTCCCTACTAACCTTCCATTAGCATAATCAGCACAGACTAGGTTTTTGGAGGTGTAACCAGATATGCAGAACCCAAGGGAACAAGATGTATACACACTAAGTTGGGTAAAGAATTGACAATGAGCAGATACACTGAATTTTCCCACTGCATAATCCCAACTCTGGTGAAAGGAAGATAGCAAGAAGTCGAGAGCCCAGGAGAAGGAACCAGGACAAATCCTTCTCCAAACGCTTCCTGGAGTCAACAGAAAAAAAAAAAAAAAAAATTCCAATGGTGAACTTTGGTGGCTGTGCTCTCTAAACTCAACAAATAAACTTGGACTCAGCAATTGGTGGGCATTAACCTCCACCATAAACAACTGATTTGACCAAAAAACCAAGGACAACTGACAAAGATAAGGTGACACACCAATCACTTTTCCTAGTGAAACTTTGTGACTTTTGCCTTAGAATCTTCACTCTTGCCTTCGGTCATGTTGTTGTTTGCCGTCGAGTCGGCCCCAACTCATAGCGACCCCTCCTTGGGTTTCCGAGGCAGTATCACTACGGAAGTAGGATTGCCCAACCTTCCTTCCGAGGAGTGGCTGGTGGGTTTGAACCGCCAGCCTTCTGGTGAGCAGTCAAGTGCCTTAGCCACTATGCTACCAGAGCTCCCGCCTTCGGTCATGGAGGCAGTCAAATAGGGACTGCTTTCCCTAGATTATACTTCTGGAGCAGCACTGTCCAGCAGAACTTTCTGCAGTGATAGAAATGTTCTACAGCTGTATTGTCCAATACAGTAGCCAGTAGCCCATGTGCAATGTGGCTAGAGAAACCAAGGGATTGAAATATTAATTTTATTCAATTTCAAATGATTAAAACACATGGCTAGTGGCTACCATATTTGTCAGTATAGCTACAGGTAAATCTTCAGTGCTTTAAATAATTATCTCTAAGCTACTCTTTGCAGCTTAACGTCCATATGCCTCTGAGTGTCTATTTTTCTTTTCTCAGAATAAGGAAAATTGCATCCAGCGGGGGCAGAGGCAATAGGTTTTCACCAAAGCAATTATTGCTAGGCCCCAGTTTTACATTTAGCACCATCTTATTATAGGTATTAACTTTTGCCATCTAGGCAGAATCTTGCAGCAGCACTCACATTTTGACTCAGACAAGTCCATGGAATCCAGGAATAAAGAAAGAAAATGTTGGGGAAAATAAAGGGAAAAAGTTGGTCGGGAATGAAAAACAGCTATGACAGAATTAAAATTTTGCCTACGCTGGTTCCATTTCTTGGTATATGTGTCTTATAAGATTGACCTACTTGAGGGAAAAACAAACAAAACAAACAAAAATGGATCTGTGCTCCCTGGAGACACAGCAGTGAAATTGAAAATATAGCAAGATCACCCTGGCTTCTGTGAAGAGTGATGGCACTCATTCAATTCTTCCCAAGTGGGTGCAATAAAAGGATGCAGGTGCCACAGCAGAACTCAGCTTAAGGTACAGGGGCACAAAGGGAGCCATGAAAATTTAATTCTACCTGGGGGCTCAGGAAGGACTTTAAGGAGAGATGAAACTTGAGCTGCATAGTAAAATACAGAGATATGGACCAAGTGGATTCTGTAGAGAGGATGGAGACAGGTGGGTAAGTGTAAGCAATAGCATGGAGACTTACATAAGAGGCAACAGCAAGTAACACAAAATGTTTTGAGTAAGAGGCACATGTAGGGAAGTGGCAGAAGTAAGGCCACAGAGGTCTAATGCAAACCTTGCGTATCTTACCTGGGCACCTGGATTTATCGTGTGAAGAAGAAAACAAATGATATGATGAGATTTGTATTTTAAAAAAATTAATCTGGCATGGACAGGGAATGGGGAAAAGGATAAAGTGAGGTAAGTTGAAGAGGACTGTAACTAAAAAGGACTCTAGTTAAAAAGTCAAGGCATTAACAGTGAAAGTGAAGGCAAAAATATCCCCTGAAGTCTTCTTAAAACCAAACAATAGTTTAGCTGAACTAGTAAACAATGCCTGCCTTGGGCATAATGCTCTTTTAAGAACTATGTGGTTGAATTTGTGTATATTTGCTGCATATATTCTCTAAGACAACAAAATAAATTTTAAAAAGAAAAAGAAAATAAGAGTGAAGGTGTGAGAAGAGAGGATGGATCTGAACGATGCTGAGGAGGAAGCCATACTAAGACCTGGTAACTGATTGGAGGTGGGAGACAAGGGAGACAAGGACAACTAGAGTGGTATCTGGGGTTTCCAGAGCAATTGGCAGTTCATTTTGTTAAAGACAGTGGATAAATGAGAAGGTTTGAATGGAAAAGACAATGAGTTCAGTTTGATTAAAGGTTTCTTTGAGATGATTGTGGACGTGTCCAATGGAACAATCTAGAGGGTGGTTGCATATACTGGTCCAAACGTCAGGAGAGCGTTTGAGATGGAAGATACTGATTTGGGAGTCACCAGTACAGAGGGGATAGTTAAAGTCATGGTACAAAAAGCTTGTGTATGTGGAGTGGTTTGAGGACTGAGGAAAGGACCTTGGAGAAGGACAAGGGAGATTTATCATGAAACTAATGAAGCTTAAGCTTCAGGGCCCCTCATCTGCACAAACCCCCACTGAATAACCATATCCTTTTATACTTAATTTTGTATTCTTTTATAGCAGGTCCTCCTCCCAAATTGTATAAGCTTTAGGTCCTGGGTCCATATGTGAGGATGGACCTGGAAAGAGGAGTCAACAAAGATAGACTGGTCAGAAATAGAAGAACAAGCCAAGAGAGGACAGGGCTTGAAGAGGAAGGTAGGGTCAGGGGCAAGCCCAAGGGGCTCAAGACAGTGAGGTCAGAGAGAGCCCTTTGGTCTCTTTGGACAGTTCAGGGGGAAAAAAAAAAAAAGTGAAGAAAAAGGCCAGCTTCCCTCTAAGACCAGAGGGTGGGAAAAGAATGTGGCAGAGATGCAAGATGTTTCAGGAGGTTGCACATGGCCACTTTTACCTCTTCTGAGAAGCAAGCAAGCAAATAAATAATGGTATCTGCTAAACAAAGAGGTGTGAAAGAAGGTGCTTGAGCCAGTAGTGAAGGTTCAGAGTGGCCTCAGAATGTAAAGGGAGAAAGAACTAGATAGAGCCAAGTAACAGCACAGTGGGAACTACTAGGGGTCAGTTCTTTGATTTCTCCAGACTTCAATTTTTTGTCTATGAATGGGATTGGATGAGATGATAGTAATCCATCTCTTTCACATTGATTTTGTGATGTTTTATTTGCCTAACAGCGGTTCTCAGTCGCTTAATGAAATCTGAGTAAGTCGCATACCCAGAGATCTGATTGAACTGGTCTGGGGTGAGGCATTGGGAATTTTAAAAGATTCTAGCTAATTCTACCATACACCAAAACTGAAAAATATTCCCTTACTAAGATTACCTGAGAATATTCTATGCAGAAAACATAATAATCAATAGGGTAAATTCTTTTCTGCTTAATTGTTAGGCTAAGGAGGTAAAATATTATTGTTCCTACTTGAAGTGCATATTCCCACCTCTATCTTGTTTTGTTCTTTCCTTTGGCCAAGTGTTTGCTTTGGAATCAAGAGGTAGCATGTATAATCAGCACTTTAACAGCTAATTTATATCATATTTACTGCATGGCAAACACATGAACAACCTCTGAAGTAGGTATTCATATAATTCCTATTTCACTAGAAAATTGAGCAGCAGAGAGAATAAATAACTTTCCCATGATCATATATCTAGTAGCCCCACACGAAGAACCATCTAAGATTATGCAAAATTTCTGGGCAATTATTTCTCACTTAATCTAAGCAGGACGGACCACACCACTTACTAGAAACTTTTTCAGTTATCTCTCCTCTGACATTTCTTTCTAACTATTCACTGCTTTCCTTAATTTATTGATCATATGCATGAGGTAACTTAGTATTTGGAGCTCTGGTGGCATAGTGCCTAAGGCATTTGACTGCTAAACAGAAGTCTGGCAGTTAAAACCCACCAGCCACTCCTCAGAAGGAAGGTTGGGCAATCTATTTCTGTAGTGATACTGCCTCGGAAACCCAAGGAGGGGTCGCTATGAGTCAGGATCAAATCGATGGCAGTGAGTTTTTTTTTTTTTTTTTTTTAATAATCCAAAATTAATGCTACAATTCTTTTAGATGGATCCAAAAACTTGGCCATAATCCATGTGGCCACTCACAGATGAAGGAGTCTGTCTACAAGAGTGCATTTTCCTCAAGGTCAGGAGTAAGTTCACCTGCAAGAGATGGTTGTTCTCCACAATGAATTAAGATACTTCATAGCACCTGCCTCCAGATACTCTCTGAAATAGCCTTCTACCAGCTCCAGTTTGACAGCTAAATAAAAACTAGTCTTTGTATATTTTCTTAAACAAATTTCTTTAGCTCCATACTCAAATATGTGCATTTGGAAGGAAGGTTATAAAAAAAGCCATAATTTGCACACTAACACTCAGTAGCATAGTGCCTAAGGCACTTAACTGTTAACCAGAAGGCTGGCGGTTCAAACCCACCAGCCACTCCTCAGAAGGAAGGTTGGACAATCTACTTCCATAATGATACCACCTTGGAAACCCAAGGAGGGGTCGCTACGAGTCAAGTCAGACTCCACGGCACATAACAAGAACAGCAACAACAATACTCAGTGCATAAACATTTTTGAAAAAGAAAAAGATAGAAAGAGTAAGTCCAACATAAGAAGCAACGAATAGTTATTGTTTTACCATAAGTGGTGCCTAAATTTAGTTCTTTTGTTTCTTCTTGTTTTGCTGGTGTTTCTTGTTTATTATTTCCAGAGTCATATTTGTTCTTTTCATAATAATTTTCAAGTTCTTGTTGAGTTACAGATGCTATCATGGCTTTTCTCTCTCCCCCTAGAAAAAAATCTGTTGCTTCATATGCTTCCAAGTCCTCAGCAAAGACAGACACATCAAACTGGCGCTTGGGCAACCTGTATAGAAACAATGTCAGACTGCTTAACCAAACCACAAGACCTGAGAGTTCAGCTCCCAACTGATGTTGCTAAGCCTCAGGTTCAATAAGCTTTATTATTGCATTGATTATTTTCTTAAGTTTATAGAAGGTTTCGGACAAATAGCAGAATAATAAGTTTACTCCCAGCTACCAATGCCAACTGCTAGGAAAGGGATCAAAACTGGAGATCCTGGATAGAGTGGAAGGAAAAATGTGGAACAAAATTAAAAAACACAGAAATGACCAGAATTACTGATCAAATAGAGACTGGTAGACTCTGAGACTATGGCCCCAGGTTACCCTTTTGGCCTTGAAAATGGACTCATTTCCATGGATTGGCTCTCAGTCGAACAGTAGAAAGACATATATGCGGAGGAACACTTACCCCAGGGTGATGCACCCACTTACTCTTGGGAAATGCACCCCTTAGATCAATCAGGCATGAGACACCAGAGGGGTAGCATTCACATAAAAGGAAGGCTGAACAGACAGGAATGCATGGATGAGAGGGGCACAGTGAGGAGGTGGTCATGGGGAAAAGAGGGGAGGAAAAAAAAAGAATAGTAAGTTTAGCATAGTCAATTTTTGTTAAAAAAAATCATATATTTGTGTGTGTGCATGTGTTTATATGTTTGTGTTTGTGCACATTTATATACCTTTGCATGTGATATATATCACACAGAGAATTAAAACCTTTGGAGGGTATGAGACTCTAGCCAGCCAATACCTCTAGGACATGGAATTAGAAGATGGGTTGATGTTTTGGAATGGAAAATGTTCAGTTTTTGCTATTATACACTTGTGTGTCCTTTGAATTTTTAAATAATGAATTTTAAAATTTTTAAATAATGGTCATGTATTACTTTTTAACTAACAAAGAAGACCAAATTATACCAGAATTGTCATATCAGTGAGCATCTCAGCCCCAATGGTTTGGGTCAAGTCAAAGACTGGCATTACCAGTGATTTTTTTTTTTTTTTTAGGGAGGCTATCTCCTGCTAAGGTATATCTAAGGTTGGACAGGTATAACATGTGCCTGGGTGCCACTTGAAGGCTTCTATTAACCATTAACCATTCTATTCACCACTAAACAGTTTCTATGAACCATCACAGTGTCCATTGCCAGCTGTGAGAGATCGTTCAACAAGTTAAAATTAATATTTTCTTATTTGAGAGACTCCATGGATCAAGGAGAAGCTCTGGTGGTGCAGTGGTTAAAGTACTAGGCTGCTAACCAAAAGGTTGGTGGTTCAAACCCACCAGCCACTCCATGGGAGAAAGATGAGGTAGTCTGCTTCCGTACAGGTTTACAGTCTTGGAAACCCCATGGAGCAGTTCTACTCTATCCCTTTGGGTCACTATGAGTTAGAATCTACTTGATTGGAATCTACTTGATGGCAGTGGTTTTAGTGGGTTTTTATGGGTTGAAGTAGATTGTGTGATCTTTTTCTGCTGAGTGTAGAAAGAGATGAAACTGGAAAAAAAAAATGACTTTGAGCACATCATAGACCAATTTTCGTCAGTGAAAGCAAGGAAGGTGCAGTGGTAATTTTCATGTAGCACCATAATGTGTTGGGTACAAGAGTAATGAGCTTGACTTGCATTTCTGAGCTGATATTTTGATAAAAATATCTGAAAGATGAGTGTCAGATGTTTGGACAGGGGCACGATTTCAGTGCTTGCTATAGGACTATTTCCCATAGATAGGCCACTGGTATCCAGTCTATAGGTGGAGCTGTAGGACAAGCTCAATTCTGCCTTAAGCCTACCTCTTGATAGCCATGACTGATTTCAGCCGAGTGTCCCCACGGTTCGGTCCCCCACATTCATTAATGAGCTCTGGGGGTGGGTACTGGTTTGTTTCCGCTAAAAAAAAAGAAAACTGAAATAAGATGTCAGATCATATAAAATAATATAAAACCTAAAATAAAATAAAACAATATATTATTCATTAAGACATAAAATAAAGCACAAAACAAGGTAAAATTTCAAATAAAATAAAATTAAAACAAGCCAAAATAAAATAAAAACATAAAATGTATCATATCATAATATTTAAATAATTTAAATAACATTTAAAAAATATAAAATAAATCACAATATAAAAGAACATAACAAAACTATAACATACGAAAACATATAAAAAATTAAAACGGACTAGAAAAGAGATTATTTCAGCCTGCTTCTCCTTCAAAGAATCACTAAGCCATTAGCCATTCCACTTCCCTCCACCACTCCCTGCAAAGATAAGGAAACTAAGTTCAGAGAGGTTCACTGACTTTCCTAGGATCACACAGTGAGCTAGTGGCAGGGTTAGGACTAGATCAATTCATTGATCTTTCTACCTCTGAAATTAGTGGGACACAAATGCAATGTCAATACTTCTCTTCTAAGATGCCTATCAGACGCTTCTCATTCCTTCATTGATGAAAGAGCAGATGTCCTTCAAGGGTCACAACATGATATGATTCACACTTATCACCTAGCAAGGAGGGCAATGCACACTTATAAACTGAGAAACTAATGTCACCCAGCAAGGAGGGCAAGGAGGCCTCACATGTTACAGTGATGGACTCTGACATGAGATATTCTGGATTATGCATTGGCAGACACAGCGCAAGATAAAATCTTGAAAAGGTGGCAGGATAGCATAACACCCCACCTCACCCCCAATGGCTATGCAAGAATTTGGTTTGACTAGTTCTGATTGAAAGGAAGGGTACTAGAGCAGAGAGGTAGTGAGGAAGTCTGCCCAGGACACACTGTCTTAGACTTTGTCCCTTAATTTCCACTGCTACCTTCATCTGACCAACTTGAGTGGGGAGACCCTGAATTCTTGTCATTTCTCTTTTACTACCTGGCAAATCCCTGAAGACCTCTGATCTCCAGATTTCCACATGAGCCTCAACTTTGAAATAAATATGTCATATACTCTTGTCACTCAAAGTGAGGTTCATGTACTGCACCATTCAGGACTTAGTAGAAGTGCAGCTTGACAGCCCCACCTAGACCTGATGGATCAGAATCCAGATTTTAACAAGTTCCCTAGAGGATTCATGCTCAAGTTAAAGTTTGAGAAGTACTGTCATATACCACTAGGTAAACACTAATAACAATACCAAAACAAAACAAAAAAAAACAGGTGCTGTTGAGTTCATTCCGATCATGGCAATCCCCATGTGTGCAGAGCAAAACTGCACTCCATAACGTTTTCAGGGGCTGATTTTTCATAAGTAGATTTTCAGATCTTTCTTCTGAAGCACCTCCAAGTAGACTTGAACCTCCAACCTTTTGTTTAGAGAGCAGCTGAGTGCATTGACAGTGTACACCACCCCCCTCCCTCCACAATCATATTTGAATGTAGGCTTCACAAATAGGGACCCACTGGTACGGAGTCAATTTTGACTCATAGAGACCCTAGATCCACCATAGTGATGTTGTTATTGTTATGTGCTGTTGAGTCGGACCCAACTCATAGCGACCCCTCCTTGGGTTTCCGAAGTGGTATCACTATGGAAGTAGATTGCCCAACCTTCCTTCTGAAGAGTGGCTGGTAAGTTTGAACCACCAAACTTCTGGTTAGCAGTCAAGTGCCTTAGGCACTACACTACCAGAGCTCCTACCACCTTGGAAACCCAAGGAGAAGTCGCTATGAGTCGGATG